CACCTAGCACAGAAGAATGATACTGCTGAAGCTGCTATGTCCTTGCATTTCTCTTGCACTATAAAGTACAGCCTGGTCTCTTGCCTCTGAGCTGGCAGTTGTTAAGTTTGAAACACAGCAGAGCAACTAACTTGGCTGATGACTGCTCACTGTTCTGAGACAGCGGTTCCTAAGGGGGTCCTCAGAAAGCAACAATTCTTTAAAAAAATGTACTGGTATGCTATTATTCAAAAACTTTCCAAGTGGCGTTACAGCTTGCTGGAGCTAATAAGGGCTCCAGACTAACCTATTTTCCAAAATGTGAAAATCTCCTTCGACTTACAGCCATCCTCAGTGAACAGCTGGCATGGGCTATGGCTGCTACTATTCCAATTACTTTCCCCCATTCCCTTTAAAGACAGATAATCTTCTCCTGGCAGCCAACACAAACAAGTAACTGGAAGAGACCCTCTGCAGAGCTCACTGTCCCGAGACACACACGCAGGGGAATGGAAGAGCTGTGGAGACACAGCAGTGCGGCCTTGGCTGTGAAGAAATTTTCATCTCGCTTGGACTGAGCTGGCTATGCAAATTCCTTCAAAATTTCTAGGTTACCAGTATAATAAAGATGAATGTTTACCTGTTAAATCTATTGCTCACTGCACCTGTCTGCAAAAGTACTGTCGTTTCATCTTGAGGACTTCATTCTCAAAATATGGCAGGATGAGAAATATCTCAAGGATGATGGTTTGTTTTCCTTTGACATCTCAGAACAAGTGTCTCCCAGCAAGAGAGATATTTTGTTCTGGGAGGCTTCCATAAAAAAGCAGACAGGAATAAATTGAGACTACATGTAATAAATGGCTATAAGTTCCTGTCCACACACTTTTGTTTCACCAAGCACCCAGTCAGAGAGACCAACATTTAACTTTGTCCTTTCCCTCAGTCCACAGATCTCAAGATGCATTGAGATCATCCCCAGCTCCAACCTCCAAAGGTAAGAGAAGGGTACAACAGAACTTGTCTCAGCTACATGCCTTCAAAAAGGTATATACAGAATCCAAGTTAATGTACAGAAATTATAATAAATATGAAACTCTCATTGCATCACCCTCAGAAAGCCACCCTAAGTGGGAGGCTTCCACTTCTGAAACAACAGAAGATTCGATGATATAAATATTTGGCCAAACTTCTTGACCAACTCCAGCCACTGCAAGAGACAGCTGTTAAAAAAAGCCAAGTCTGAAACTGAGCTGGTCAGGAATCTACCAAATGCTGATTTGTGGGAATTAAAAGGAAGAACAGTCACTATAATCTGATCTATTCATGACTAAGTAGTGTTGTTCAGATATAATGATCTTATTGATATGATGTTTATTCTAGTATATCACAAACACATTTTAGCAAACAGTTTTGCTAAGTAGGTTTCATACATTTGTAAGCCTATTACACATAAAGCTTTCCCTAGTGAGCTTTTGATCTCATTCTTCACATTTCACGTTGAGGGTACAGTGCTAACATCACACATCCAATAAAGCAAGTATTTCAGTCTAGTTGTAACTTGTTTTTTGTGTAAGTTCTTATTTATAGCATACCTCATTTCACAAAAGATGGCAGTAAGTCCAGAAAGTTTTCCTAATCATTGCGAACAATTAAACACATTGCTACATACACTTCAAAAATTGTGCTTTCATTTTCATTTGAACAGAATGTGAATAACTTATTAAATTAGCCAGATACTTCTTTGACCAGTCATCTGTTTAGAAAATCAATTTCCGCTTATTTTTAAATCATCTTTCCCTTTTTTTTTTAAAATTAGAAGTTGTATTTTTCAGAAATAATGCTTATCAGTTAATTTCAGAAGGCTCACCCCCTTTTTACAAAAAAGTTGCAGAGCATTTTGCAGATAACTATAGTATTAAAACTGCTCATCTGTGTTAATTAGATACATCTGCTTCATAAAATAAGTCTGGGTCTAAAAACAACTTGTGCTTGGCCATGTGTAAATTAGGCTAGCAGACTTTTCGAAACTGAATAAAAAAGGGCTGTAAGTGTGCAGCTACAGCCAGAAATGTGGTATTATAAGTGACCTTTGATGTGAATGTTTCTCATACTTTTTTTCTGAGATGGCAAGATACTGTGTTTTCTAATACCTTGTTTGCACCGCAGGCCTTTAAATAGAGAAACAGCAACAAGATTATCTTCTGTCGCGTACACAGTAGTTACACTGTATTCTAAAATCTGTATTAATCACCAATAGCAAGCAAGGCCTAATTACTCTAACCTCAAAGCTTCATTTCTGCTGTCTGAACTATGTGAAAAGCATGGGCTGGTTTTCCTTTCCTTAGAGGAATGCAGAATACCCAGCCTATTTGCAGTGCTATTACCTGGAGAGGCAGCAACGAGACACTTACTTCAACAGCAAGCACTGATTTTCATGAGTGGGTGAACAATGTCTTTTGCCCTTCTGCCACAAACAGTTGTGCAATAAAATAAGCCACCTGAGATGTCTATTCCCGCAAGATTTTGCATCTCAGTTCAACAAACTACTCAACAGGTATGACTACACTGCAAATAAAAAGTAGACATACTTTTCAGTATATAGTCCATAGTGTTCCTAATGTCAAGACTACAGACTGCCAGTCTTGTCATCATACACCTGCCTTATGTGCCATTTGCCCAGATGTGTCCAGTCACCTGAACAGGTAGTCACTGGAAGCCTATTCACCCTTGTTTTGAAGACAACTTTATAGATGCAGTGTAGACCTATATCATAGGACTATCAGTCCTTAAAATTAAGGTTCTAAAGGTATGTTGCTGATCAACAATGAAGTGAAGAAGAAAGCAGACATGATTTTGCAGGAGGTACTCTGTCTCATCAGGGTCCTTGAAGCTTCAAACCTAAAACATGTTTACGTATAAAAGAAACTGTGTATGACATTTGCAGAACTTACTTTTCTTGTACATTACCTTTAAGACAAAGCAGTGATCTGTAGGTGCCTTATATTTCACTTTGTGTTGAGAACCGTAATAAACGTTCATATTCTCAAATTGAATGAAGCATGCCAGATCCCGTGATGTCTACAAATGAAAACCGAGCACATCATTGTTAGAACAAATTGAATTTTGATGTGAAACTCATTATAGGACTTCTTTCAAGCGTATGAATGCCAATGCTTTTTATTTTTTTAACTGTCATGAAGTTGACTGAAGAAAGATGAATTTTAAGTGTGTGCATTCTTTAACACCTGGAAGAGGGCCCGTACATATTAGAAATAATGTATAACACAGTGCAACATTTTGCTGTTATTCTGGTTTTATTGTGCTTTATTGCTTTGTGTGGAGATTTTGGCTTATAGCTAATAAGAACAAATAGAACACAACAGAAAGAAATAATTTTAGTAAAATAGATAAAGACCTTGCAACCACTCCCTTACAATTCTGAGCGGAGAAAAAAGGTTTGGGGTTCTAAACTGCTTTGGGAGCTTGTTTTTATTTGGTATATGTAACAAACAAACTCTCTTCAGGAAATAAGCACACATTTCCTCTGTTTTGCTTTGAATTTTCTCAAATTTCCTGGCATCATTCCTTTTCTTTTTATCATACTATTTGCTTGTTCACGATATGTTGCTAAAGTAGCAACAGTTTCTGTTGCTGGCACACTTCTCAGTGCAGAATTCTACATACAAAGCATAACTTTTGCAATCCTTTGAGTGGAAATGCAAAAATGGCCGTGTCACATGGTCACTGTTGGCTAAACTGGGAAGTCAGGAACTTGTGAACAAATTAAAAAGAAAAAAGAAAATAACAAGCCACAAAACCTACTACCCCTAAGAATGGGGTTATATTTCCGCATATGATGGTTTTCTCTGCTGTTTTCATTCTTACTGATACTTTCATTACAATGTGCCCTCGAGTTGGGTTTATTCACAAACAATTGTGGGGACAGGAAACACTCCATGCTTCCCTGTCTCCCCTGAAGCTGATGTCAGGGATTTTGTCACTGACTGTGTGGACCTAGGATTTTCCAACACCGTAAGTTCCTAAACATGCTCAAATCCATGCATTATGAGTTGTTCCTTTCCTTTACAAACCAGGTAATGGCAATTAAGACCAATATGAATGCAGTTGTTATTTTCTTCTAAGTAAGGATCAACTTTTTATGCAAGGGACAAAGGCATTGCTAGTATTTCTGCAGTGTTAACATGACAAAGCAACACAATTAACTGAAACAAATTTTAAAATTGTATCTATAATCCTGATTCTGTTGTTTTGTAACCCTGTCCATTAACAGCATGTTTTTGAATGGGATAAAAGTAGAGTAATGCTGAAGAATGAAATTAAGACAGCAGTGCTGACTGCTGCCTGGATTGTTATCAAAAAGACCTCAAACAACAAAAACCACCAAGAGCATGTGTGAAAAATTATCTGAACGTGTCCCTGTATTTTAATGTTTGCAATGTATTTTACAGCCAACATAGAGTGCCAAAGGTATGCCAGACTTCTTTGCTTTTTTATAACAAGTGAAAACATGATTACATGATGAATTTCAAAACAGCTGCAGCAGCTGAAGACATTTCTGTCCACGAACTGTCTGTTTCTATACCTCAGTGAAAGGTCACTCTACCCACAACTGAATGACTGCAGCAAGGTGCACGTGCAGTCTTCATACCACCCTGACACGGGATGAAATCTCATAATTTAAGGGCTTTGACTGAAGAGCTCTACTGAATACTGCTATAGTGCTTTAACGTGTTTAGCACCCTCACTGCACCCTGCTCATCTACCAGAGGTTACTGTCTCCACAAAAGACACATGTACCTGAGCCTCAGCTGTTCCAATACAGAGTCCAGTAACCAACTTAAATCACCATTAAACACAGATTTGGGCTAAGAGACTTGACTGTCTCTGCAATGGCTGAGGCATGCACATACGCATTCTTTTGCTGAAGGCTGTTACAGAAGCAGGAGTGAAGAGTTGATTGTGGTACCATTTTAAAGAGCTGTGACTATCTCCTAAAGAACTGCATTCAAGGTCCTCAAACCCTGTGAGTGGCTGAGTTGGTAAAATAGTGAGTTTGAAGCACTCACGCAATTCCTTGAAATGGCTCGGTTATAGGCAGGGTGGTACATAGGCTGTAACAACTAACAGGCAATAACATGTTAAACTAAAACAGCTGTTAGAAGGTGACTGCATGGCTCCATCCTGAGCCTATGTTTGCCGTCTATCACCTGAAAAAAGAAAGCACTTTCCTCATTTGCACTATGATGGAAAGTCACTGAAACTGGATGATGAAAAAAAGGCTAGGTAACTATCAGTACATGCTTGCCCTGCTTTAGCACTGTGGCCATCATTGGAGGCAGGCTATAAGGAAATGTCAAAGACGAATGTTTCATTTGACTATTCTTATACTCTCTCCACCTTAAGTGCCTTCCAAATAGCATCCTAGTTCCTAATTGATAGGATGTTCTGTGTGTGCAACATGATTTGAGGACTGAAAGCTGTTATCTCAGGGTCAGGTGAAGTCAAAATAAATTGCTGTGAAAGCAGCAAGGTAATCTAGGTCCGTATTTCAGTGAGATTTGGTTATAAACACAGGTCACTGGACCAGCAGCACGGCAATCATTTACCAGCTATCAATTTTTTTTCCTTTGTAATTTAGTCAGGGAATAGCAGAACAGAGAGTTAAGTTTCACAGCACAAATCGTAACAGTAAAGCTCCATCAGCAGCACCCGAATTTTCAAAAATGAAGCATTAGCAGAGCAGAAGTGGTTTTCAGAATACAAAAAAAACCAAAACCAAAAACACCAGTCCCAGAAGCCATCATTCTACCTCATTACTGCAGAAATGAGAAGCCAGCCACCCTTATGTGCAACATGTCCAGGACCCCTTTGCTTCTCCAGTGCCGGCAATTCAGACTCTTTAAATATTTTGTAATACTAAATGTCAGTGCATTTGATTCAGTCAGGTGGATGCTTCTATCTCATTTCTTTCTACACAAAGGGCAGTCTTTAAAAGCCTTAAAATGCACAATGAATTCTCTAGGTAAAGATCACTGTAGGAGAAAATGTACAGCATTTCTGCATGCTGGATACTGGTGTACAAAGTCAGTATCAAAAAAAGTAGAATTCCATCTTTTTTATTATAAGAAAATAGTTTACTTGAAAACTTTTAAAATATTCTTCCACAGGGAACCCATATAACAGTGAAGCATTTTGGCAGTGTAACACCAGCTGAAGGGTGCTGTGCTGTTTTTCTTTCTCCTACTGACTTCCAGAGGAGTGCTATTTCATTAATGCTCTTATCTATCCATAGAAATCAAAAGGAGAGAAACGTGACAGGATTCAGTGAGTACATTCTAATATTTGCACAAGTGGTGTAGTCAAAGTTGAACCAAAAGAACCCCAACCCTTTCAGATGCACCAGACAGTGCTCTTAAAATGTCACCTTGGGAGTTCTTCACTTTCACCTCCATGAATTGTTTTATTGCTAAAAGGATTATTTGGCTTCCTGACCTTGGTTTTTCCTTTGGGTACATAATAAATTCCAGAAGCTCGTAGAAGAAAATAACGCCTCTTCCAGGACTTTTTTCCATCTTCTTTTAAATAAAGGGCCCCTTCAAGCTCTGGCACAATGACAGATGTCCCACAGAAGCTTTCCTGTGCAACAAGAATAATTGATGCAGCAAAATAAATTGATTTAAGCACAACCCTATTAATAAATAGCAGAAAAATGCTCCCTTGAAAAATAAAGACATTTCCTGTGACAGTGAACATAGGAACATGGGGAATGCAGTTACCAGGGGGATGAACACCTTAGACAGGCAAAGGAAACTTTTCCAAGCTAATGTGGTAACTTGGCTGTGCAAGTTGGATGCTCACACTGGAAAAGAAGGCTCGCAAAACCTCCATTCTCTAAAGGGTCAAGCAAAAACCTACAAAAGGTTTTAACTAGACATAAATATGCTTACTGAAGACAATAAAACAGAATGGTTGGTACTGCTGCTGTTGTTTTTTCTCTATTGCTGTATCTATAGGTTCTGTAGAGAAATATTTTTGTAGAGAGAATCTTTAGAGACTGCTTAGAGCTCTAAAAAAGCTAAAGAAAAAAATCCCCCTCAATCTCTGCTTTCACTTTGAAATACATGCTAGCATTTACAACACTGTTTAAGCAAATACACTTAATTGTTTGCTTGAAGGACCTATTGTTGGGTAACTTTTAATGCCAACACACTTATCACTTAATGATTTCATATAGAATTTACCAGGACTTCTGCTGGTTGACATATGGTGCCTTCATGAGGTGCACTAATTTTGAAATGGGAATCCTCAGTCACCTGGGAACAGCATTTCCTTTGTGAAGTTTTACCAAAGTCAAAGTGCTTGCTAGGAGAACTGTGATAATCTTCTCTTTCACATAGACCTGGATTTTTCTCTCTCAAACACAGAACTGA